GGCAGGCCCAGCCTGGAAGGGCAGGCGAGGGTCAGTGCCATGCTGCCACCATGGGAAGGGGTCACCACCCACAGGGTGGCAGGAACCATGCAGGGTCACAGCAGCCCATAGGGATGGTCCTCGTGCATGCCCCACACCAGGGACAGTCCCATGCAGCCAGGGATGGTCCCACGCTGCCCCCCTGGCAGCCACCCCAAGCAGCTGCATGTGCCAGCTGCTGAGAAAGATGTGGAAAATATAAAAAAAGGAAACAAAATAAAACAAAAATAAGTCTCCCCACTGCCCCACCTCCCCCCCAGTCACCCCCAAAACAGCCCTGGGAAAAAGGAAGCACCCAACACAGGGCACTGTCAGGGTGGGAACATCCTCCAGCCAAGAAGGAGCCCTCCCAGCTCCTTATCTCTCCTTGTAGCAGAAGACCCCAAACCTGCCCTTGCTGGGGAAGCCGAAGGTGCGGACACCAGGTTCTGTGGGACCACAGTTGGCCCGGGGCTTGGCGATGGGATAGCGGACGCTGCCGTCCGCCAGCCAGCAAGCATCGCAGCGGTCCAGCCCCTGGAACTTCCAGGCGGAGTAGAGATGTCCCACCCGGGCGATCTCAGCCCCCGCGTCCTGGCAGCTCTGCTTGGCCTCCTCCAGCGTCATCCCGTCTGGGCGGTCCAGGTAGAAAACCTCTCCTAGGAGGGACAGGGAAGCATGAGAGAGGTGCATCAGTGCTGAGCATCATCCAGAGCATCCCTGCCTGGAGCATCCCAGCCCAGGCTGAGTCCTGTGCCCTAAGGGGGAAGGATGCCACCAACAGGGCACAGCATCCTCCTCAGGATCCCACCCCACAGCACTCACCTCTGAGCGTGGAGGAGAAGCAGAAGGCATCGAAGCGGTGCAGATGCCGGTCACGCGGGCCGTAGCTGCGGATGCCCGGAGCGAGGTGCAGCCCACCGCAGGGCTTGCGGGGCAGGCGGATGGGGTACTGCACAGTGCCGTCGGCCAGCCAGCCCGCATTACACCAGTCCAGCCCCTCGGTCCAGGCCTGGAAGAGCTGGTTGAACGTGGCGAGGATGGCGCCCTGCTCCTGGCACACTCGCTCGGCTTCGTGGAAGTTGAGCCTGTACTGCCCACGGGGAGGCTGGTAGGGGAACACGACGCCTGGGGGCAGACGGGGCACTCAGCCGGCTCCGTAGGCAGCCCCCCCGCCCCGAACCTGGCGCCGGTAGGAGCCACAGGTGTCCCCAACCCATCCCAAATTCAGGCTGTGGGACAGGGACCACCCCAGGGTGGCTCAGCCCATGCTCAGGCTGCGAGGATGGGGCTGCTCCGGGCACAGAGCCACCAGCGGTGAGTTGCCAGCGACATCTGGTGGCACAGGGAGACAGGGGCTCTGTCCTGGGGACATGTGGACCACCCTCATGGGGACAGCACCGCCACACACAGGGATGCACAGATTTTAACAGGGATGCAGGGACCTCCACCACACGGGTGTATGGACCACGGCCCTGGGGACACAGACAGTGGTCTCAGGGAGACACGGACCACCTCTGTGGTGATGGAGAGACTGTTGTCATGGGGATGCACAGGCTACAGGGACAGGGACACAAGGACCATTATCATGGGGATGTATGGGCCATGACCCCAGGACACATGGACCGCCAACATGGGGATGGATAGACCATGGGGATGTGCACCACCACAATGGACCACAGTCACAGGAACCAGTGGGGACAAGCCACCGTGAGGACAAGCCACCATGGGAGGAAAGGCCCAGGGGCAGAGGGTGGGGGCATGGCCATGGCAAGGGGGATGTTTCCCCAGCTCTGAGCTTGGCGGTGGAGCAAGGACTGAGTCAGGTGCCTCATGGCAAGTGAGCAAGAGGGGTTGGACCAGTCACCAGGGTTCATCACAAGACACGTGGGGACACCCAGGGCTGGGAGGCAAGGGAGCAGCTGCACATTATGTAGCACAGTGGGAAGACGGGTGGAAAAAGGCAGGAAACACTGTGGCCACAGGTCACCCCCAACTCTGACTCCCCAGTAGCATCCCCAGCATCCCAGCTGGGTAGTGCACTCTGGGCTCACTCACTGCTGAGACCCACAGTCAGACAGCCCCAAGCCACCACCCCATCCCACTGAGCAACCCGGCTCCTTTCTGCCCATGATTGGGCTCCTCAACCCCCCACCTTGCTATGTTTCCCAAGGAGGGGACGCCCCAGGAAGGCCAGGTTCACTGGCTTGGCACAGGGTGTCACACGGTCCCCACTGTGTCCCCACCTTGCAGCCGGAGGTCCACCACATTGTTCCCGTCCTCCAGCCCATCGATGACCTCACAGCGGTATTTGCCATCATCCCGCAAGCGCACGTCACTGACGACCAGTGAGGCCTCACGCTGGCCAGACTGGCGGAGGTGTGCGCGGCCCCGGAAGTCCCCAAAGGCCATGGAGGTCTTGCCAATGGCCACCAGCACATCCTCCTCCTTGGTGTAGTCATCCCGCAGCTTGGACCACTTGATGCGGATCTTGCGTTTGCCCTCCATCTCACGCTCATAATGGTAGTAGCAGGGCAGGGTGACATTGGCACCATTGGAGCTGTAGATGGGGTCTTTGGGGGTCTCCACCACCAGGTTGTCCCCATTGAAGTAAACCACTGGGGACAGGGAGGGAAGGAGTGAAGTGTGGGTCAGGGTCCAGAGATGGGCAGCATCCCCAAACCTACCCACAGCTGCTCTGCTTCCTCTCCACCCACCTCCTTTTCTGCCTGAGCATCCCACGAACATCTCATGAGCATCCCCCAAGCACCCCTGAAGCATCCTCGCCTGCTCCTCTGGGCCCCGCATCCCCCCAAGAGATGGGTCCCAGCCCCATCCCAGAGGCAGGGAGGGACTCTAACCCCTTGCACCAACCTGCCAGGCCCCCTTATCCCGCCAGCCCCTACCTTTCTCCTGCCCGTTGCCCTTGTCGTTCATGATGCGGTTGTAGTAGAAGCCGTTGTAGAACGGGGGGTGGAAGCCGCTGCCCAGCCACAGCAGCGTGGCCTCCAGGAGCAGCAGCAGCAGCAGCATGGCTGGGGAGCGAGGCTGAACCCTGAACCTGGGCTGCAGAGGGGGAAAGGTCTGTGGTAACACCCCAAAATCACCAGGAGGGCCACGGCGCCGCCTGTCACACGGCAGCAGGTAAACCCCATTGCAGGGATGCAAGGAAGGGGGCAAATAGCCAGCAGAGCAGCTCACCTGCCCCGAAGCCGCTCCGCTCCCTCCCTCCAGCCACCCCCTCTTCTGCTTGAGCATCCCACAAACACCCCCCCAGCATCCCTGCAGCACCCTCACCCGCTCCTCTGGGCCCTGCATCCCCCCAGAGAGATGGTTCCCAGCCATGCTGCCAGACTTGCCCAACAACCAGGGCTCCTGGTCCCCTCCATCCTCATCCTCCCACCTGGGTCACACTGTGCACATTCGCCACTGCTGTCCCTTGGGGCTTGCAGAGCTCCCAGCCCGGAGTGGGGAGCTGAGACCGAGCAGGGGATGGGGCAGCTGGGGGAAATGGGATCACAGGACATCCTTTGAACAGGGAGCACTGGGAAAACATCACGTAGGGGATGCAGGGGGGAGAGAAGTGGCCGAGCC